ATCAATCAAATCAGAAAGAAGGGAATGCCATCATATATGAACATCACAAAGCTATTAAAAGAAGTAAATTATGTGAGGTTTGATTATTTTTCTTTTCCCCTTTAAGGGAGTAAAGAAGTGACTCTCTTAAAAAAAAAAAAAAAAGAAAAGAAATGTCGTGGTATTTACCCATTTGGATGCTTCTTGAAAACAAATTGTCCTCCAAAGAACAGAAATACTGTATGTTTTCTCTCAGTTCTCTGGCTTATGAATGACTTTTTGTTGTTGTTGTTGCTTTGTTAATACATACTGTAATGTCATTTTCTGTGTCCATGATGTGCTTTTTACTCTTAACTCATCCAACTGTAGAAAGGGGCTATGTCCATCAGACTTCCGTGCTTACACTGGCTATTTTAACTCACTGGTAGTTTTTGTGGATCTACTCCAAGGCGATGTTTAAAACAACATAGGAATTTTGTGAGGGGAGGGGGATATGGTAGGCAAGGAAAACACTTATTCCTTCTAAAAGGTTTATGTAGTTCCTTTTATAAGGCCCAGTCATTAACAGAAGATGACAACAGAGTCATTTTTCTTACAGCTGACAATTGTGACATTTTTCTAGTAGTATGCAAGGTGGTGAAAACCTGGCAGCTGTTACCTCCTGGGATGAAGACACTTTTTTATCCTCCTTGACAGTTTAACTTAGTGGGTCAGCACCTTTACAGACTGCAAAGTATCCTTGAAGAGGATGGAAGCTTGAATTACTGCTCCCTCCCTAATCAATGTAAACCCTCACTGCAGGTGAAATCTCCATCTATAGAGGTGCATGGGGGAGGAAAATGTAATGCCCTGAGCCAGATGGTTTTTATCTTGTTTTTAAAGAATAAAGGAACAAGTTAACAAGGGAGACAGCTACTTTGTTAGCTTCTTGGCCTCTCTCATGGCTTTGCATCCCCAGGGTTCCAGCTACACAAGAGAAAGAATACAGAAAAACGTAAACACTTAGAGAAATATAACTAGAGGGCTGGCATCATGCTGCTTTCAAAGAGTTGAGAGAGCTCCACTCAATGCTTTATTTATCACTGCCCACGTTCTCAGGATGGTAAGTGGACACATGCACAAAGAAAATGGGGGATGGGAGAAGGATCAGACAGCAGTCACAATTTACTCAATTACAGAGAAAGGCAGGGTTGACAGATCCTATTAGCACCAATGAGAAGCAAAGAAGAGTTGTATGCTATAATGCTACATTTTCAAAAAGTAGTAAGAACTTTCATGTATCCTCTCAGGCTTTGCCCTCCCTAACAGGTATGAATAAAACAGGATATGGTCTCCTTGGCCTCACATTTTAGAAGTAAAAGTAGATTTAATGTTTCCTTTTCTGGTAATTTCTCTGTCAGGTTTTGGAATTGCTGTTATGGTGACTTTAATTATAATTTGTATTAACAAATCAAGAAGTATTTTAAGACAGCTATTGTTCTGTTTTAAATGTTTACTGAATTCACAAGTGAAATCATAAGCATTTTTAAAATTAAATTTTTTTATTTAAAATTTTTATTTCATTGACAGGGTTATTCAACTTTTGTTTGATCTTGTGTTAGTTCTGGCAAGACATATTTTTTCAAGAAATTTGTCCATTTCATCTCAGTTGAAATGGCAAAAAGTTGTTTATAAATATCCCATTATTACTATGTTAGTATCTGTAAGAATTATAGTGATAACCCTTTTTTCTGCTCCTCCAATATTTAAATATTTTCCAAATTAACATATAATGGCCATGTCCCAACACTGTCAAAACTGTTTTAGAATAATCTATGTAAACTATAAAGTTAGTTTAAAACAACTATAAGGGGGTGAATCCAACTATGATACACTGTAAGAACTTTTGTAAATGTCACAATGTACCCCTCGGTACAATAAAAATAATTTTAAAAAAATAGCACAATGCTAAATTGTTGGAACATAAACTTTTTATAATAAATAGTGAGAGAGTTCCTGAAATTTAGTAGAAATATCTGCAAAAGAATCTCAAGTTAAGGGACTGGCTTACAAGATGCAAATCCTACTTACATCAATCCTAGGTACAATTGTCTACCAAAAAATCCAAACATGCAAAACAGCAAGTGGCACCTTACTGTCATATGTAACAGAGAAAAGGGGTTGAAACAGCCTACATATCATATCCTACCTTTAAAAACTCAGCAGTGGGGTAATCAAGTTCAGGGCAGTTCTGGACAGCTGCCCTGTGACCTGCTTCTATTGACCCCTGCTATTCATCACTCTTCCCTGAGATGGAGAGGGCAAACTCCTAGGGAGTGACCACCACAAAAGACACACACAAGCCAACAGTAATCTGGTTCGAGCAAAAAACCAGATGGCACTGCAATAAATTTACAAATCTGCATTCATGGGGCTGTTAAAACACCCAGAAGCTAAAAGACTCTGAGGGCCCCAGGAGGATCTCCTACTTCCCTGTTTCTAAAGGCCATTTCTCTTTCCAAGAACACTGAGTTCATGCTCTTCACAAAGAGAATGGAGATAAAACCCTTTACAAAGAAGGGAGGGGGAAAAGCCTCATGACCTAATTAATCTCCAGAGCTTGGATCTCAACACTGAATGACAGATATCAAAAAAATCATTTTGTGGAACACTAGGAGGGAAAAAAAAGGTTGCTAAATTAAAGCGGAGGGGATGAAGAGAACCTGCTAAAACAGCAACCAAAAAAAAAAAAGAAAAGAAAGAAAAAAACCCCCACTAAATCTCTTTCTGCACACAACAGATCTTGCAAGTAGAAAATGATTCAATAATGTATGCATATATTTTTAAAATGAATCAGATTAGTCCCATGTGTGACCTGCTGGTCCATCTGTATGAGCTGGACTTAATAGGCATGATTCTCTCTCTTGCTTCAGTTTGAAGTATGAGAGAGATAAATTTAGTTTAATTTTCAACAGATCAGCCTATCCATTTTCCAAATGGACCATCTGGATCAGCCTATTAAAATTAATTTATAACTTTGCAGAGTGAAAATTCGTTTGTTAGCTTAAATAAAGTTGCCAAAACTTTTTGCTGTGTCACTGTTTTCTGACAGTTTTTTCTGCATAGGAGGCGGAGTGTTTCCACCTCTAAATTTATCTTATTCAATATTACCCTACTGACTTAGATTTATGGGTCAGGTATTTATCTCCAAATAATTAAAACTGTATGTAACTGTCTCAACATCAATATTGAAAAGCTTATTGAACTGACTCAATCCCATTTAAAATAATTGTTTTTTGTAAAAAAGGGGGAAAATGTATGTTCAAAAAAAGTTAACATAGTAAATTTTAAAAATGAAGGTGTCATGGATTCAAGTACTTTTCCTATAAGTTTAATGCTACGCAAAGTGGAATTAGAAGGCAGAAGTAGAAATGCTTTGGCAATAATAAGGTCTGAGTTTCAAAACACTGACTAGCTCAAGTCAAACATAACATTTCCAGGCCTCCATTTTCTTCATGGATAAACTGGAAATCACGTATCTAGCAACTTTACAAGGTTATTCTGAGGATTAAATTAAACAAGTATCACATTTGTGGTAGGTACTGAACAAATGTTAGAACTTTTATGCCCTAGAACAATGCCATAAATGCCAGTAAATTAAAGTTATTTTTACTGCTGGTGTTCATTCTATCCATTTCATACAAAAAATGAATAGATGACATACTTATTTTATGTCTACACTTAAGAACTTATTTTTGTCCCCAACTAAGTCAGGAAGATGTTAGAGGTTTCTATAGTTTAAAATTTTTCAACTAGTATTTTGGACTACCCCTCCCCCACCAAATGGAGTTTGAACTCAGGACCCTGCACTTGCTAGGCAGACACTTTATCAATTGAGCCATGCCTCCAGCCCTTGGAAATTTTAATTTTAAAAAATAAAATCACCATGGAATTGAACTTTCACAAGAAAAATGTTACCTTTTACAAGTAGGAGCACAGAGATGAGCAAAAAAATTTTAAAGTAATCATCAACAGTGACCTTTACTTCTAGAAAAATTAAGCAAAATATTGCTTAAACTAAAAGGAACTAACTTAATTTTAGACAGATCTGTTTCATTTAAAAAATGTATAAAGAATCTTACCCAGGCATGATGACACACACTTGTAATTTCAGCACTGAGAAGGCTGACACAAGAGAATTGCACGTTTGAGGCTAGCATGAGTGGGCTATACAACAAGACCCTGAATCAAAACACAAAAAAAAGCCAAGTGCCAAAGGCTCATACCTATAATTCTAGCTACTTGGGAGGCTGAGATCTGGAGGATGGTGGTTTGAGGCTAGCCAGAGCAAATAGTTTGTGAGACCCCATCCCCAAAAAAACAAAGCAATATGTACAAAGAGGTGTGACTCAAGCAGTAGAGTGCCTGCTTTGCAAGCACAAAGCCCAGAGTTCAAAAACCAGTCCCATAAAAAAAGAAAAGAAAATGTATGAAGACTCTTAACAGGAAAACATGGCTATACTAGTATCTGTACTTAGAAAGCACTTAAAAGTCATTTTTCCTGCTGGGTACTGGTGGCTCATGCCTGTAATCCTAGCTACTCAGGAGGCAGAGATCAGGAGGATCGCAGTTCAAAGCCAGCCTTGGCAAATAGTTCCGCAAGACTCTATCTCAAAGAAACCCTTCACAAAAAAGGGCTGGTGGAGTGGCTCAAGGTGTAGGCCCTGAGTTCAAGCCCCAGTACGGCAAAAAAAAAAAAAAAAAAAAAAAAAAAAATCATTTTTTCCTGAACAAGAAATCTCTCCTTTGATTTTAATATTCATTACATATTATTTGTACTGTACTTTTGTACCTAGGATGTTTTTGAAATGATTGGGCAAAAATACTACCTGATTGAAATTGATGGCTGTGTCCAGAACAATTTAAGAACACAGGACTCTGTAATTTAAGCTCCAGTGTTCAAAGAATGACAAATAAAGTGTTTCTTGTCTTTTGTTTTGTTGTTCAAAGCCTTTTATTTTAAGTAAGACTGAATTTCATACCTGTCTAAGTGAATTCTTCTCTGGAATTATCTTCCTAGGGGGTTCGCCATTATTACAGTCTTCTCTCTCTGAGGAATTCTGTGAAAGAAAGTAAGCTTTAATTCAGTTCTCATTATCTTCAATCATATTCTGTAGGAGTAAACTGAATTATATTTCTAATTCTATAAGCTAGAATATCATGCAAATTTATGCATTTGAAGATTTATATACATTCAGACATAAACATATGTAAAAGGAAATACATGCCTATGTATATAAATAAATGTATGTAGAGATCTGGGTGGAAGGTTTCATTTATGTTTTAGGATACCCAAAAAGATCACATGGATTAGAAACCTAGTTTATCACCCTTTAACACAGGTTAACACTGGACACAAGAAAGTTCCAGTTCATACTCAGCTGATGAAAACTTAAACCATGACTATTACCTTCTCTTTTAAGTAATTAGGGTTTTTTTTTTTGGAGGGGAGGTTACTGGGGTTTGAACTCAGAGCCTTATACTTGCTAAGCAGGCACATTACCAACTTGAGCCATATTCCCAGACTAGTAGCAAATGTTTGGTTGATACAGTCTGTTTTCTAACAAAATAGACAGTTCTCTCCTTCCTCTCCTCAGATTTGATTCTCTTTTCTTCAATAATAGCAGCATAATTCTTGGCACGAAACATTTATTTAATCGTGTTTTAGGAATAGAGTGCATTCCTTGTCACTATCACCTTAAACACCAGCTAGAAGACCCTAAAATGTCAATGGAATTTTTATATACTGAAGAGGATGAAAGGGCTGGTGGGGTGACTCACGTGGTAGAGCACTTACCCAGCAAGCATGAGGCCCTGAGTTCAAACCCCAGAACCAGTAAAAAACAAAATAAAATAACAAAAGATGAAAAACAACAGTCCAATTAAAAACTAGTTCAAAAGTACTAAAAATCTGCTAGACAACCTAATGTATATCACTATCAGTAAGGCTAATACAGGAAGACCATATTACTTCATTATTTGGGTTCTTTTTTTTGTAACTACACTTATTAACACTAATATTTTAAAACTTTTGGTTGGCTTATTGTTACATTATAGTTATCGCATTCTATTTTTGAATTAAGGTATTTCTAACATGAATTTATCTGAAAATTTTATACAAGTATGAAATTATTATAATATAATCATTACTACATGTAAGTTATACCTTTTTGGCTTATTTCAGATATTATCATTTAAAACACTTAAGAACAGGGTGTGGTGGCTCACAATTGTAACTCCAGCACAGGGGAGGCTAAGGCAGGGGATGAGAGTTCAAGGCCAGCCTGGGTCAAGGCCAGCCTGGGTCACACAGTAAGGCTCTTTCTTAAAATAAAGAAATTATAAAGCCCTTTCACCACTACTGTGGCTAACATCTAGGTGCTTTGTGTATTGCCTTTAGTTGGCTTGACAGATCAGTACCCCAAAGTGTTCCTGTTGGGTAGAAATCTCTTATAAGGTTTAACTTGCTATTTTATACTTGTGATGATCACTTTATGGTAAAGGTCCCTAAAATTAAGACAAAGAAAAATTATACTGTATTACAAGCAAAATGGACAGAGAGGCAAGAGCATCAGAGTTGTAGCCTCTTTTCCTCTCTACTGGAAAAAGAAAAGGAATGAAGACTATTTACTCAAAAATAGAGGAAGGATATAGTTGGGTTAATGACTAGAAAGCATGACAAATGAGGAAACTACATGGTATTGTTAAAAAGAGTAACTCTTAACAAACAGGAAAAAGGAAGAAAACTTCAAAGAACAATGTTAGAGCTAGTTCTTTTTTAAGATGGGGTAAACCTGACACTTCTGCTCTGGCCCACTTACAATGAGAAACCAAATCAAAACAATAAATCCAATGCAAGTGTTACTTAAAAAAAGAATGCTAAAAAGTCAAGATATCACAGCCAAGAAGCAGGTACCCTCCTAATACTGAAGGGATGGTAAGGAATGCCAATGAGTAGGAGAAGAGTAGCTCTAATCTTGAGGGTAGCAGGGAATGATGAATACCTAAGTGATCATCTTGGTAGTCCTTAAAGCCTTTCTAATATCACCCAGGAGCCACACAGTTACCACTCGCATCCTTAGCTATCAGGAATCCCAATAACCAAGGTGGGAGTCAAGCTGGGTCAACAAACTGAATTACATCCAATAAACTCTATTTAAGGGTAAAACTAGTGGAGGTAGGCAAAAATCACTGATGGCTGCTAAATTAGCAGGCAAATGTTAATAGCAGAATACTTACATAATCTCAAACTATTTCCCTATAAGGTACTTAGTAAGAAAAATAGTAACCTTACAGTAGAGAAATCTTGTAGATACCACCTCAATGTTATGTGTTTCTTTATACTGGGAGCACATCACATCTGAGGTACCCTTGTCCAAAACACAAAGCCTAAATCAACTCATAAGGAAACATCAAACTAACCAAAAATAGAGAGCCATACTACAATACTTTTAGTCTGGAGTTTGCAACAACAAAAAAGTCAAGGTCATAAAATACAAAGAAAGACAAAGCAATTGTTTCTGATTGTAATCTGAGATTTTCCTTTTCCCAAAAAGGACATTTTGGTCAACTGGAAATTGAGTACAGTCTGTAGATGCACTAATAACACCGTGTCAATATTAAATTCCAGACTATTACCCCACTTTAAAAATTTACATACAGGAAAATTCATTTTTTACCGTATAGTTCTATGAGTTTTGACAAAAGCATATACTTATATAACTATATCAGAATCAAAGTATGAAACAATTCTATTACTCCCCAAATTCCCTTGTAATGGTCCTTTATAGTCAACCCTGTCCCTACTGAAAATTACTGGTATTTTTAGCTCTAATTTTACCTTTTCCAGAATGTTGTATAAATTGACTAATAGAGTGTGTAACTTTTTGAATCTAGATTTTTTTCACCTACCACAATATATTTGAGACCTATTCATTTTGTTGCATACATTCACATTTCTTTCACTTTTACTGCCAAAGCTGTATTCCATTGCATGAATGTACCAGTTTGTTTACCCATTAACTTTCCACATTTTGGTCTTTTGTATTGTGTTTATTTAAAACCATGTCCTTGTTTTTAGGAAACATGCACTGAAACATTTAAGGGTGAAGGGAGATTATGTCTGTAACTTTCAAATGGTTCAAAAAAAATAAAAATAACATATTGAATGTATTTATATGGAATAATGTAAATGCAGCAATCTGTGCGAAGAGTATAAGGGGATTCTACGTACTATTCTTTCAACATTTCCATTAATCTAAAATTAAGTCAAAATAAAAATTAAACAATAGATCAAATCTAGAATAAAATGTTATGAAATGGGGGGGACTCTCATAGTGAAAAGTATTAGGGGAAAATTCCATAAAATATAGTTAAAACTTTTATTTTATCACATACTAAGCCAACCCTACATAAACCCTACTACTGAGAAGTCACTTCAACACTTAGAGGGAACATTTCAGTAAAATGTGCTGAGTATGTTTGTACTACTTCTGAATTACTTCTGAAAAAGATTCTATGTAACTTTTTACCTTTTTATATTAAACCAAATAGCTATTTCTTAGCTTAATTTAACAGTTTAGAATTAAAAGGGACAGAATAAAATCTCACTAGCAACTTTGAGTTTAACTTCAAGCTGGAAGCTTTCAGGTTGTAACAACTATAGACACAAGTAACAGAGGTATGAAGAGAGAAGAGCCAAAAGATAAAAGTCTGCTAGAGCTCAGGCAGGAGATCTCAGGGATGTATTTTGGATAAAATGTTTTCACAAATAACCTGGGATGAAAAGGCAATCATGTAAAAAGCAAAAGTATTCAAATGATAATCTTAAACTGTCTCAAAATCAGCACATCCAAATTTAAGGCACTCTTTTATCATTCTAACCCTTTCTAGGTTACCTCTTTTCAACTTTTCTTCTTATCCCAGACTTGAAAGTCTGTAGAATCAGCTTTCACTCATTCTTTTTTCCTCTTTGAACTAACCAGTTTCCAGTCTATAAATTTTTCATTTGAATCTAGTTTAATATATCTGACCCTATTTTTGCATTTCAATCATCTCTCCTCTGAACCAGATCTCCAATGCTGCTTACTAGTGCTATCACTATTGAAATAAGCTTCTGATATCCTTGCCTAAATCTTTATCTAACACATTCTATACACTACTGTCAGAATTGTCATTCTGAAAAGGTTACTTCCTGATTAAAACTTTATAGCTCCCTGGAATCTATCTACAGGATAAACTCAAACTTTAGTTTTTGGGTTTTTTTGTTTGGATTTTTTTTTTTTTTTTAATTTTGATGATACTGGAGTTTAACAAAGGGCCCTTGTGCTTGCTAGGTAGGTACTCTCCTACTTGACCCATGCCCCCCAACCTTTTTTGGCTTTTAGTTATTTTTCAAATAGGGTCTTGCGTTTTTGCTTAGGGCTGGCCTCAGACCCACAATTCTCCTACCTATGGCCTCCCTGGAGGCTGGGATCACCGTCTTGCCACCACATCTGGCTTACTGATTGAGATGGGGGGGTCTTGCTAACTTTTTTGCCTGTTTGACCTCCAACTGTAATTCTCCAGATCTTTGCCTCCCAAGTAGCTGGGATTACAGGAGTAACTTGTGTAATATCAAAATGTGGCTAATTTATCTTTACATCAAAGTCTTGGCATCACTTACATGCTATTACTTATCATTCATCAAAATAAGGAAAACACTCTCTTCTCCTGGGTTGATTTTTTTTTTGTGTGTGTGTGTGGGGGGGACGACTGGGGTTTGAACTCAGGGCCTTATATTTGCGAGGCAAGCACTTACACTTGACACACTCCACCAGCCCTTTCCCTGTGCTTTTGCTAATTCTATGTTCTTTCTTTCTTGAGACAGGGTTTTGTGATGTAGCACAGGCTAGCCTCGAACTTGTGAACTTCAGCCTCCTGAGTACTGGGATTATAGGTATGTATCACTATGCCCATCTTGCTTTTTTGCCAATTCGAGTCCCTCAATGTCAAATAGTCTTCCTTCCCAAATTCTTTATCTACTAAAATAGTCAACTAAAAAAGAAAAAAACATATGTAT